TTTTTTTGAAAAGATGACATTTTGGAATTTCTGTGTATAAGTGTGGCATTTTGGGGTTTATGTTCTAATACTATGGCAGGAATGTAAAAAATTCTGATTCATAACTGGAAATTGAAGCATCCACAAGAGCAGTGATCACAACATCACCATCACAACACACAAGGCAATACGCACACGCAAAAATATACAGAACATTGACAGCAGCAGAGGAAGTACAAAACATACCTGTAATTCGTCGTCGTCGAACTCATCGAAGGTACATGACTCTTGCATAAAATCTTATCGAAATCATTTGTGTCACTGTAGAACTTTATTTCTATTTGAGTAGCCGCAATTGAATTTGTCAATTGAGGTAAGTGTTACCGCGAAATATCCTTTGCGACCACCATCTTAGAGCCACGGCGCTGATGGTTTTCCTATTGATGCAGGACTGCAAGATTTGAGAGGAAAGAATGGGAGCACGACCACGATCGATTCAAGAAGAAAGGATGGAAGCACGAGCGATTGAGATGAGACAACAAAGAAGTGAGAAAGAATGGCGGATGAAAGGGTAATGGATAGAGTATTCAAGCTGCTGATGATTTCAATGCTCCCTCATGTTTGTGGCTGTGGGAAACTCGGGTGGTCTTTAAGTAGTTGCCCGACCCATTACTTTTTCTTTTTTTTTACATAAGAATTTTTTTCTTTGTCATGGGTTTAAGAATGTAGGCCCATTTGCTTTTTTTGAACTTTATCTTTTTATACTTTTTTTATATTTTTTTTGTCTGTTTTGGTTTATATTTAGATGTTTTTTTAATTTTATTTTGATTAATTATGTTTGAATTCCATTTAAGACGTTGACCGCTTTTAGTTAGATTTCGATTATATTTTGTTTGTTTTAATATGTGGATTAAATATCTATGGGTTTTTTTTGGCATCCGATGAGTTTTCATTACAGTGTCAAATGATTTAATTTATATGATAAGTTTTCATTACAATATCATTTATAATAATTTTGGCATGCATGATTGAGGTGATTGGGGTGAGAATAATATGTAGAATCAAACGGGTTATGAGGTATGTATCTGAAAGTGGAATTCGGTAGTATGAATTAGAGTGTGACTGTGTTACTCAGTGAGGCTGCTCCTGGACTTTTGCAGCATGGCAGCATGACAAATGTGACTGGTTCTTAATTGAGTGGGATGCATTCAAGTTTAGTCTGGCAGAAGTATCAAATTGTGTGAGTTTTATTCAAATCCAACCGGCATTGGTGAGTTCGTAGACATTGATTGAGTTACTTAAGTTGCGTTTGGGTGACTTTGGAGGCTGTTAGGCATCTGGTTTTTTCACAGCTGAGATAGGTCGTTAGCTTTCTAAGAGCTTCTGTCGACTTTTTGTAGTAGGCATTTGAGGGAGTTCGTGTATGCCTGGCTTTTGTGCCTGGTCAGAGTGTTTTGGAGGTGTCTTGAGTTTGTTGTGTATGAATGGTGGTAGTTGGGGAGTGGGGTTCTGTTACTGATTTGCTTGGAGTTCTTCTTGATAGATGTCCCTGGTGTGATTTGCATGTAGTTTTTCTTGCTGGATGTCCCCAGATGTGATTAGTGTTTTCTTTAAAATAGTTTAGGTAATATATAGTTGGATTATCTTTTGTACTATTGGTAATGTATGTGAATGTTTGTCATATATGTAGCCATTATTTATGTTGCCATAATAATTTGCCTTTTCCAAAAAAGAATCAAAGATGTTATTTTCTTTTAATTCATATCCATTAGTCATTGTCATTATGTATGTTGTTTCTATAATATATCAAAAAAATTCTATTAATATTATATATTAAAATAAACTTAAGATCCAAAGATAAATCTAAAATTATGTGAGTTTTCATTTTCTGAGAGTAGAAAGAGTAAATGTGATTATATATTGCAAGTTTTGTAGGAAATATATACTTATTCTTTGGTTGTTGATGTTATATTTGATGTATGGTATTAAAAGATGATCAAATTTTGATATTACATGCATGTTGGTTTTGTTGGATATGTTTTAGTAAATTTTGTTCTCTATATAAATTTATTATATTTTGAGTCTTTGATTTTCTTTTCAAACTATATCTTAACACACTTATATTAATGGTTCAATTATTTAAATTAATATTTCATGTGTGACTAAATTTTCATTTTGTATGTTATTTATTTATTTTTGTTTGTGTATGATTATTTTAATACCATAGATTTTATATTTTATTATTTATTATACAATTAAATTACTATTTTCATATTTACAGATACATTTAATTACATTATATACAATATCATGATATTATTTAAAGATGAATCTAAATAAAGAAGGTCAAAAAATTACAGTTCAATGGTTTAATGGTTTTTAGTACAGGCTTTTAGCATTCTCATGTTAAAAGTAAAGAAGGTCAAAAAAATTTGATTCATAATAAAGACAAGATCACTGACAAGATTGCTTCATCCTGTACCTGAATGTTGTTTTTAATGAGATTTTTCACAATATACGATAATATACGATAGATATAACATTTATATTTCTTTCTATCAAAATTGTATATATTTTATTTATTTTTTGTATTGGTTTTCAAGTAGTATCTTTGAAGCATACTTTTCACTTTTGAAGCATTTTTGTTTTTTTGGGTGCATAGCAACTTGGTGTTGCACTTAATTTTTTTTTATCATTGTAATTATATTAGACTTTTGTATTCAAATTTTCAACTTTTTTCATACTGTGTATCTTACATCCACATAGTTTGCGCATCTTTTACAATTTTTTTGTGATTGATCATTCTATCTATGTTCACAATTTTTTTGTGATTAATCATTCTATCTATGTTCTTATATACATGTAAGATTTACCCGTGCGGGAACACGGGTATTCGACTAGCAAATAAAATAAAATGTTAATTATGGTTGGTCTAGAAGAGAAAGTGAGGATATTGCATATGGATTTTTGATTAAATTTGAATAAATGATCCATATTAAATCAAAGAAGCACACTAAGAAACACACATTGTAAAATAATTTAAAATGCCTAAAATGTCACTTCTAGATGATTTAATTGATTTAAATCAATTTAATTCAATTAAATCAAATAAAATTCACATCTTTCTAAATGCACGTATAAAAATAAAATGAGGACATGGAAAATTTTATTTTATTATTCTGGATATTTTGGCGAAAAGATAAAAATAAAACGGTTAAAAATGAATAAAAATCGGACGACAAAGTACCCAAAAAAAAATTGACCGCACTAAAATGATTAGCGCGGAATAAAAGACTAAGAAAAATATAACATTTGGTCAAATTTTAAAATAAATCGGAACCGGTAAAAAGACTCAAACTGATCGAAACGCGACAGAAAATTTGTCGAAAAATAAGACGAGCGCGTCAAGTTAAACTATGCGAACAGTAGACCAATATTACTGACGTCTACAAGCTCAATTTCGAAACTTCTCATCCACTGATTTTTTTTGTATACTGAGAAACAATTCAATCAGTTCATCTGTATATCTAAGAATTCATTCTGACTAATCATTTTAGGAATTATTCATGATGAAGAGTATGATATGTTATGCAAGAGATGCAAAATAAAAAAAATAAAGTCGAATGCTAGAAACTTTTTAAAAAGATAGGAAAAATATTGGGTATGACACTATGACTCCTTTTTCCCAGAATTTTGTAATTCGTCATTCTTCCAATTCATAAGATGAACTCGGGGCATCCATAACCACAGAACCACTTTTTCTTAACTCTGATAATGTGAGAGCACTCTTCACAATCTTACATATCAATTTCTGCCTCTCTTTTTGTTTTCAATTGTCGTGAGGACTCCCTGTGACTATATTTTTGTACGAAAATGTTACAATTTGAGAACTCTTGATAGCAGTGTCTTGAGATGCAACCGAATTTTGAATTAACTCTTCAAATTCTCTAACCTTGTTAGAAATGCAATGTAGAGAATTTTAAGCTTGATTCAAACTCCTCCAAAAAGTCTCAACATATCCGGTCTCTAACTCTAAAACTAGGAATTTAAACTAAAATCAGAGGAAACATCCTAATGAAGATCGACTCGCCTTGAACAAAAACCAGATTAGGTCTGAATTTACCATTTAGAGCGCTTCAATTCAATAAATTTGAAAATTTTAGCATTTGTCACCATGTCGAAAACACGGCAGAAACCTAGCCAAAAATCGCTCAACAAAACCCTAGCAAACGCCTAAGCGACATGGAGTTAATATTAAACTTGAAAAAGCATAGTTGAATATAGTTGAATAAAAAGTTGGAAAAGAAAGAGGATGCAGATTGCATAGTGTTAAAAAATTGAAAAAGCGATCTATTTAAAACCATGAGTTGGTTTTTGTTTGTAAAGAAAGACAAATGTACTAAAAACATCCAAAATTTATAGTCGAGGAGGTAGCTAACAAGGCAAGGGTACGCAAATGGAGTTTTTCAAAACCTATGATATTCTTATATTATAGATTTTTAATATAGATTTGGCATGGGGCAAATGGAGTTTTTCAAAACCTATGATCTTCTTATATTATACATTTTTAACATAGATTTGGCATGCTGCTTTTTTATTCATGTTTTTTTGACTCACGAGTTTATCTCTAAATTTATCTATGATTTCTTTTACACCGGATTGAAAAAGTCACCTTAACCTTTAACTCCTAAGTTTTTGGTACCAATTTTTTAAATCCTTTTGTTGGATTTATTTTTCACATGTTTTGAAGCAGGGCCTACACAGGAGACTTCTGTTTTGACAAATATCACTCTCTTTTGATATATATATTTATAGCAGTTCTTTCTAATATACGCAAATGCAAAAAAATATTGAAAATCAAACTCTGTAAGCTTTTTTATTTTCTAACAATCTCAAACAATTTTGGTTTGATTACATTAAACTTTCTCTATAGGGAACAATAATCAATTAATTTCTCTTTCCCAATAAAACCTTATTGAATTTTTAATTTATAACTTGATTACAGCAACATCAAATTAAAACTAAGGATAAACTTCAATGAGAGACTTGAAGCCACATATTGGAGTAACTTTGTAGCTGCTGAAACCTGCATCGTATATGAGTTTCTCCCATTCTTTCTTTGTCCTTTCTTTCCCAAGAAACATTGTAAGCATCACCAAATCATACTCCAATTGCAACTCAGTTAATCCATGATCATCACTGTTTTCATCAATTGATATGTCAATGATAATCACTTTTCCATCTTTCCCTTTGTGTGAAATTGCTTCTTTACTGTTCTTCAATATCTTTAAAGATAGTTCATCATTCCAATCATGCAGAACCCACTGTAATAAATAAAAAAAACACAGTGAAAATATGTGTCAATGTTATGTTGCACGCAGTAGGTTTTAAGAAACTGTCAGCTAACATAAAAACGGTCGCGACAAAATGGTATTCGAACGTGCCAATGCCGATACCATTTTTAAAAAAAAAAGTTGCAACTGAAATCAGATTGTAATAATTGATGAAAATAAAAATACCTTGAGTAAAACAGCATCTGCAGAAGGGACAGATTTGAACATATCTCCACCAACAAAGTTCAAATTTTCATTTCCAGTTAAGTTACCAACAACCTGTGGTTGATCTAAAACAGTGCATTTGATGTGAGGAAATGCTTCATGAATCAGTTTCGAAACACCACCAGTTCCACCAGCCACATCAACCAAAGAACCCAAGCCCTCAAACACAGGCTTATTTTCTTGAAGAGCAAGCCTAAACAATCTAGAATCAGCAGCCATAGCATCTTGAAACAAATTCAAATAATCAGAATCTTTGTTAAGAAAATCCCAATAATTCTCCCCAGTTGCACACTTAAAAAGTGTTTGTTCCTTATCCTCATGGAACCATTTCTTTGAAGCGCTCCACAGATCTAAAGAAATTGGATGAAGTGCTCCTTTAACAAGTGATGATAAACATGTCGATTTACTAGTTACAAGAAGCTTTGAAGAAGGTGTGAGAACATATGCTGTTTCTCCTCCTTCTTCTCCTTCATTGCTTTTCAGTGTTGTTTTAGCAAAGAAGCCATTGTGTGTTAAAAGGCGCAAGAATCGATAAAGGATGTTAACTTTAGAAGGGTGAAGTTTCAAAGATGAAGCTAATTCAGAAAGAGTCATTGGTTTTCCATGGTTATGGATTGCATCAGCTATGCCTAGTTCCATAGCAGATTTGAGTGCCATGGAACTTACAAAGTTGTATACATGTTTGTATAAATGGACTTGAGCATGATACAGTTCACTATCTTCAGAACCGTTTGTACTGAAATCCATTTCTATTGTTTGTTATTTTTGGTGTTTTGGTTGAAATGGATATGAAGAAATTATAAACTATTATGGACCTTTATATATGTTTCAAATGTTGAAAAAGAGAATATAATAATATAGGCTGAAGACGGCGGAAAAATAACACATTATTTTGTGTCTTGTTTGACTGAGAATCTTATAAGAAATTATTGAGGCGGCCATGTATTAGAATTGTTGAACATAGTTGAAGTAAGCAATAATAAAGAAAAATGTTTCATACAAAAAAATTTGTTATATAAGCACAGCATTTCAATTAATTACCTATAAAAATATTATTAATTTAACTAAGCGTAACATATATATATATATATATATATATATATATATATATATATATATATATATATATATATATATATATATATATATATATATATATATATATATATATATATATATATATATATATATATATATATATATATATATATATATATATATATATATATATATATGACAAATCAGATGTACCTCTTATTGTATAAGTTTTCAAAGATGTGTAATTAGTAGGTAGAATTTGGATAGGTGTGAGGAGGGAAGATTAACTATTTTAATTTGTGCTGTTTTTATTTTTACTTATCTATTTTTGTCTAATTATATAGTTTTTTTATTGGGGAAGATCCTGTTAGAAATTTGAGTATGATAATCCTGGATAATTTCGAGAAATCGTGTTCGTACACTTTCCGAACAAAGTATTTCGACCCTATTATTTGCCTAGGTTCACGAAATCTTTGTGGGGATAATTCTTGAAGAACAATCTGCTTCTAACAATAGAGAACAGATCAGGAATGTAGAGATAAAGTATGGTTTTTTGTTTTTGTGTTGTGTGTTCAAACTGAGGCCAAATGACTCCTTATATAGGAGATTAATAATAGAAACCGAAAAGACACAACTGTTCAAAAATTTCGAACGGGTTCAACTGTTCAGAAATTATTCAAAAAAACTTTCGAACGAGACCCCAGCCAGGGGCTCTGTCCCTTGGAACCCCACGGGGAGCTGCCCCGCACCCCGCCAGGGGCTTCGCCCCTTGGAACCCCTTTTCAATTATTCGTATTCAATTACACGTTGCCTCGACGAGCGTGCACTCCGCACTATCCTAACCGTTTCCAAGCTTAACGCATAATTGCATCGGCCTACAATAAATCACATTACTACTAAAATACATTGATGATACTAAAATCACCAACAGATCCGCTATGCGTGCAGGTTATTTGAATATATTGTTTTACAAATTAAGAAGAAAAAAAGCGCCTTTAAAAAGTTATTGGATGCCTTATCATTGAAATGTTTTGTTGTATCTATCTAACGTGTGGTTTGAGGTGATTAGGTAGGATATGTCGCTATTTATTAGAGTGAATTCGAGTTTATTTATATTTTTAAGGAAGAATCCATCCATTGATTTTATAAATTTTCACTTTTATTTTTACAGTGCTTTTTTTTTTCTTTTACCTATATATGGGTTGTTGAATATCGATAAAAATTTTTTTTTGCAATTTTTGAAAGTCAATTTTTATTTATAAGAGTTTCTTCATGAGTATTTATCAGATAAGATGCAATTCCTTACTAAGACTTCCATTTCTCCTTATTACATTTGTTTTTCATCAGTTTCTCCTTACCAAGTACCCTCTTCACCTCAAGATTTTACTTTCATCATTTCCTGTACTATGATCAAGATGAATGATATTCCTATTCACTTAGCTAGCAATTATGAGAGTGATGTCTCTCCTATTGCAAGAACGATGTTATCTTCTTATTTAAACCCATTTCTTTTTGTTAATGATCACATGGGCCTTGAAGTTATATTCATAACCAATTATTATGAGGAAAGACTTTCTATGGACACCTAGGACGGAAGAGCTTCCTCTAGTGATTCTTCTTTCTATATCATTTTGTCTAATGAAGACGCTAGCTGAGGAGGATCATATGACGGCTTCCATGCCCCATTCTTCTTGAGCGGCAGGATCTTCGACTCTTCCTGTTTTCCCCCCCTCATAAATGCAGGTCGTTAAATTGAAGAGAGAGCTTTATGGGGATTTCTTTTAGGTTTATCGGAGAACCTGTAATCAAGATCCCAATGGTGCTAATTTTAAGGCTCATATGGAGCACAAGGGTTGGTCGGACGTGGTTTCTTGGCGTTAACATGCAAATCATTTTAAATTTGATGAGATATCCCTAAAAAGTGTGACGTTGGTATAGCTGACCGACGCGATTATGTGCAACTGGGTGGCTGCAAAAATAGTAAGCACCCTTATATTTTATGTACTGAGGTGACTATAGATGCGTCCAATGCTATTGTGAACTACCTTTTTGTCGCACCTCAAAAAATCACGGAGACATTTCAGAGAAACGACCCTCGCGCAAAAGGCGCGGAAATGCCGTTCGACAGAGTCGCCACCGAACTTTATTTTCCCGAATAAACGGGAGAGGAAAATATCGAGAAAACCTCTTAAAGCGAAAGGATAGGAACAGGGTTGTCGCAACCATGTTCCGGGTTCGGGAGTCGGTTACGTGAAGGGAAGGTATTAGCACCTCTCACGTCCGTTGTACTCAACGGGAACTTCTTAGGGTATTTGAGGAGAGTGTTGTCTAAGTTTATTTGTTTTTCTTCTCGTTGATAAATATGAATTGGTAGGTTAACAGGATAAAGACGCTAAGGAGAGATGGGTGGTTAGAAGATAGGGTGCTCGCCAAGGATTGGGGCCCTTGTGCCTACGTATGCTCATTCGGACGAGAATGAGAAATCAGAGCGTCGTAGTTCGACTACGGGAAAGGTTGGGAATGTGTGGATGGAATAATGGAGGAAGATAGAAGTGTGCTCCCCAAGATCATCGCAATCTTGTGCCTACGTATCTTATATTCAAGAATGAATAAAGAATCAGAGCGTCCGTAGTTCGTGGTAACAACCACGAAATGATGAGGTTCGAAATGGGTTTGAAGTTTGAATTGAGAGACGAAAGAGTGACTGACAAGCAACCCAAAAGCGTGCCTCAAGAGCTTGTCACTCAAGAATTCAAGGAATGCTAGATTCTAAGAACTCAATTCTTTCAGAAATTGGGTTAAAAAGAGTTGGAGATAAAGGATTGAATGTTTTGAAATCGAAAGAATGAACTAATAAAAACTCAAGAGCGCGCCTCGAAAGTTACTCATTCGAATATTCAAAGAATGCTAGATTCTAAGAATTATCCCTCTTTCGTAAATTTAAAAAAATGTTTGTGAAAAGATTGAATCGGAAATGGAATGCGGGGCAAAGAAGAAGTTGTTTTGAAGTAGCTCGACGACGTGTCGAGGATTTGACCGAAGATGGAACCGACTTGACGACGTGTCAAGGGTTAGATTGTGAGAAACGATATTAGACCTTAAGGGTGCCCCTAATATCGAGACCACGAGGAGTTGTGAATGCGTGTGCAAAACGTCGGTTGCGAAGGCGTACGAGCACTCGACTTAGGAGAGCGTTGGAAAATGTTTGAGTTTGAAAAAGTCGAAAGGTTGAGTGAATAACAACTCAAGAGCGTGCCTTGAGAATTATTCACTCGAAAATTCAAGAAATGCTAGATTCCAAGAATCTCCTTCTTTCAGAGTTTTAAATCGAGAAAGGTATTTTGAAGAATTGAATTGAATCGAGGGTATGGAAAGAGTTTGCGGTACGAGAGGTGAGAACACGAGATCGGATTTAAAAATAAATTAGGAGAAGTGATAATTATTTGATAAATGAGACGTAGGCCTCACAATCAATTAATCGAGGTATCATTTGGATGCTAGATCCTAACAACACCTTTTTCATTTGAAAAATATTTGGATGAACAACGAAAATATCACACAGAATGCTAGAGTCCTATGATATTTCTTAGTTTAAAAGGAGAATAAAATGAGAAGTCGAATAATACACTATTTAAGGTGTACACCTCAATAATGATTGTCCAAAAAATCCAAGAAGTGCTAGACTTCAAGGATTTAGTTTCTCATGATTTGATTTAAGAAATTATTTTTAAAAAAATAAATTTACATAAAGACTAGAAAAACTATTAATTTTAAAATAAATTTGAAAAGAAAATACTTTAGTAAGTTAAAATAAAAAAACTAGGAAGATATTAGTTTTTTTTATTAAAAATGAGTTTGAAAATATATTTTAGTAATGAAAATAAATTTAAAATGAAGATTAAAAAAACATTTTGAAAATGAGTTTAAAAAAAAATATATTTTGATATATGCTATAATTATTCCAAGTAAAAATGTATATTATAAAAACAAAATATGAAAGGTAAAACAGAGGAGGTGCAATAGCAATAAAGGGGTGCATCCAGAAAAACAATTGGGCTTGGCCCAAAATCAGCAACAATAACAAAGGGGGTGCCTGACGAAAAAAGGGGTGTGCTTGGAATTCATACGGTTGGGCCTTAAGCCCAATTCCAGAACAAACAGCAAAACAAAACAACAGGGTGCATCATGAATACGGGGGGTATAGATCAAACTAAAGAAATTTGGGCCGAAAGCCCACTAATCCAACCGGTGAAACCCCATGGAGCTTCATTCTTCTCACTTCATTTCAGTAAAAAAACCTAGCTTCTTCTCCTTCAATATTTCCGCCGCCGACCAACATTTTTCCCCTCACCGTCTCAGTTTCAACCTTCTTTCCTTTATCTTCTACATTTCCTCTCACGAACACGAACCAAATTTTCTTTCTTCTCAAATCAAATTCTGTCTTCTTCACTTTCATTACCTGTAAACCAAAACGACCAACAAAAACAGTATAACAATCTATTCAGATTTTTGTTGAGTACCGTATGTGTAAGCTCCATTTGAGAGGTCGAAGCTTCATTGATGTTGAAGTTGATAAAGACGGATGCTAGATCGTTGTATGTTGCTGTTCGCGAACAAAGACGGCGGGTTGTTCGATGTTCGCTGAAAACGGAAGGGTTTTGAAGGTATAGACCGCATGCAGTTGATGATGGATCCAAAATTGTAGACCG